CTCGGAGGCGCAGGCGCTGGAACACCTCGCGGGCAAGCGCCACGCCCGGGTTCGGCGCCACGCGTCGTCGGGCCTCGTCTGCCCGCGCTTCGACGCGGCGCTGCGCTCCGCCGGCGTGCGGCGCATCCTCGCCATCGGCGACTGCCACGGCGGCAAGGCGCTCGGCCTCTTCTCGACGCTCGTGCGGTCCCACTTCGAGGGCGGGAGTATGTACTCCTGGGTCCACGGGAAGCGGTCGCTGCCGCCCGTCGAGTCCGTGCTCGTCAAGAGCGACCGGCGCGGGCCGGGCGTCGTGGTCATCGCGTTCAGCTACGGCGAGATCGACTGCCGGTGCCACGCGCGCACCGAGGCGCTCGCGGCGCCCGACGCGCTCGCGCGAGCGTACGTCTCGCGCATCGAGGCCTACGCCGCGGACGCCGCGGCCGCGCTCGGCGCGCGCGTCGTCGCCGTCGCGCTGGCCGTGCCGCCCGCGAGCGACCAGGGCCGCGACAACCCGCGCGCGCCGTTCGTCGGCCACCTCGCGGCGCGCGTCGCGGCGACGCGGCGCCTCAACGCCGCGCTCGAGCGTGCGTGCCGCGATTCCACCGTCGCCTTCCCCGGCGCGGACGCGTGGCGCTTCGCCGAGGACCCGGCGACGGGCGGCGGCCTCCGCGCGGACATCTCCGACGGCCACGTCCACGTCGCCGCGGCGGCCTGCGGGCCCTTCCACGCCCGCTGCCGCGCGGCGATGCTCGGCGCGGTAACTTAGCTCGGATCGCGGGACCGCGCGGGCCGCGCGACCAGGACCGCGGGCGCCTTGGCGTCGTCGACGGAGAGCTTGAGGCGCATGTAGAAGCGGAGCCGCGGCGGCTTCGCGAAGGGCCGCGGCGGCTCGTCGCCGTCGTCGCCGAAGGACGCCGCCCGGCGGTCCGCCTCGACGTGCGCGGCCCAGACGACGAGCGCGCTCTTCGCGCCCGCGAGGTGGGCGCCGGGCGCGCACGCGGTCCCGCCGCTCGCGACGTAGCGGCCGCACGGCGACGCGCTCAGCGCGTACGCGGGCCCGTTGAAGCCGCCCTCGAGGCACGCGACGAAGGCCAGGCGCCGCCCGGAGACCTCGTAGCAGAAGATCTTCCGGTCGACGCCCCGGAGCCACGTGACGCCGTCGCCGCGTTCCAGAAAACAGCACGACCAGACGACCGACGACCCGTGGTGGAGCGTCTCCCGCTCGAGCATCGTGTCCGCGAAGGAGGGCGCGACGGGGGCGTAGGCGCCCGTCGCGGGGACCTCGTGGAAACAATAATTCCCCGCGCAGAGCCACGCGCCGTCGCGCGTCGCCGCGCACCGAAGCGCCGTCGACGACATCGTCGACGCGGGGAACGCGAAGACGCGCGTCTTTTCCATGGACGCGACGTCCAACAGGACGAGCTCGTCGCGGAACGCGCCGTCGTCGACGCTCGCGAACGCGTAGAGCACGCGCCCGGCCGCGCCCGCGACGTAGACGCGGCCGTCCGAGTCGCCGACGACGACCGTGTTCCCGCGCACGGCCAGCGCGGTAATGCGGCGGCAGTCGGAGAGCGCGCGCCGGCGCGCCGGCGCGTCGACGCCGTCGACGCCGCGGGCCGCGGGTCCGCGCGCGTCCATGCCGTCGACGCGGCGGCCGCGCGCCCAGCCCGGCTCGTCGCGCAGGACGACGCCGCGCCCGTAGTCGTCGACGTGGGCGAGGCAGGCGGCGCACGGCTCGTCGAAGCCCAAAATGCGCCGCCCGAGGCCCGTGGGGCCCGAGAAGGCGTCGCCGCGGCGCGCGGCCGCGCAGAGCAGGGCGACGGCGCGGTCCTCCCAGGTGAAGGTCTGCGGCGCCGGCGAGTCGCTGCCGCGCGACGCGTCGTCGTCGCTCCAGCTCCGGACGCGGCGCGAGGTCATACTGTCCGTCGTGCGTCACGGCTCGATGTCGCGCCTGTGACGCCCCATCTTGCGCAACCGATTATTGAACTTTTTCTGCCACAAGAGTCACGAGCCCATGGACATGCTCTACCTGCTGTGGGCCGCAGCGCTCGCGGCCGTCGCCGCTGGACACGCGCGGCAGCGCGCGCCGATGAGGATGACGCTAAACACACAACAACACCCAACCTCGCAGCACCTCACGCGCTCGCACATGCTGCGCGCTGCGATCGCCACGACGCTTTGCCCGAGGCCTGCCGCCGCCCGCGACTGCTTCGTCGTGACGGCGGGCGCGCGCGCGACGATCCGCGAGACGCTCGACAACTACGAGCGGTCGCAGGACCCGTCGAACCTGCGGCCCGTGGCCAAGGACTTGATGCGCCAGGGCGGCCCGCTCCGCGAGTGCTTGGACTCGGCGTCGCGGCTCGAGGCGCTGCCCGAGGCGACGCGGTTCCACGCGCGCGACGCCATGGAGTACATCGCGTCCGTCGGCGCCGGCGTCGGCGCGAGCGCTTTCGGCCGGAGACGAATACCCGCATAGGTCGTCGAGTTCGACGCCTTCGACAAGCTGACGAAGGAGTACGAGCCCAAGGCGTCGCAGATGTACACGCCGCAGAAGCTGTCCTACTCCCTGCGCGCGTTCGAGGCCGCGGACCGCGAGCTGAACCTCTTCGCCTTCGGGCTGCGGCAGGCCGTCGGCGCCGGTAACGGCTACTACCGGTAGTCCCCCGCTTTGGGCGCCTTCACGGCGCGGGCGCGCGACGTCGGCCGCCACCGGTCGACGACCGCGCGCGCGCCCGGGACGGCGGCCGTCTCGCGCGCGAGGTCCGCCCAGCGCGCGGGGCAGACGACGGTGCGCCGCGCGCACCGCTCGAGGTCCGCGAGGTCCCGCAGCACCCGGTCGAGCCCGCGGACGTAGAGCGCCGCGTCGACGGCCGTCAGCGCGTCGACGACGCCGAGGACGCCGCCCGCGAAATCGTCGAGCGAGTGGCGGGGCACGCCCTTGTCGTCGTGCGCGTGCTCCGCGGCCTCCGCCGAGGCGCAGTCGCAGCCGTCGGGCAGCGCCCCCTCGAGCCGGAAGCGGAGCAGGCACAGCGACTCGTGGTAGAGCTCCGTGAGGCCCACCATGTCGAAGCGGCCGAGCGTCGCCGCCGCGAGCGCCAGATCCGGGTTCGGCCCGACGCCGCGCCGCCGCACGTGGTGCACGTCGCTCCGCGACGCGCCCAGGGAATTGCGCGTCCACTCGTCGCCGCCGAGGCGGCGGCGCGCGCCGCGCGCGGCGGCGGGCGCGCCGTCGCCGCAGGTCAACGCCCGGGCCATCATGTTGCTCGGGTTGTAGCAATCCCAGTCGCCGCCGCCGTCCCAGGTCCAGGCCGCGTCCGCGAAATGGTCGAGCCAGACCGCGAAGCCGTCGCTCCCGTTGGGGAAGGGCGCGGAGCCCGGCGCGAGCCGCGCGAAGGCCTCCGTGTGCTTGCGGCCAAAGTGCGAGTAGGCGCACTCCATGTACTGCGACAGCACGTGCGCGCGCGGCGCGCGCAGGAACGTCAGCGCGTTGGACCCGTTCCGCGCGTTGCCCGGGTCGTCCCAGTAGCACTTCTCGCCGCTGTAGACGCTGTAGCCCAGATGCTTCAGCTCCTCGGCGAGCGACGAGCCCCCGGTCTTGGGCACGTGGATGAAGCGGCACTTCGACGCCTTGCGCTTCACGCAGCCGCCCGCGCGCCACGCGTCGAGCACGCGGCCGCAGGCCTCGCGCACCTCGCCGGCGCCCGCGACGGCGACGACGACTGCGGCGACGATGGAACTCGTGGTCATTCCAATGAAAAAAGGTGGGCTGCATAGCGCGTCACGATGCACCGCGGTGCAGATCAACTTGGCGAATTGCCGCAGAGAGAGCAGCATAAGACGTTCAGCCTCATGTCTGCCTGCGTCCTCGCGGAGGAGTACCGCTGCAAGGCCTGCCGCGCGCCGCTCTTCGCCGCGGCGCGCGTCACCCACGGCGCGGACGACGCCTGCGCCAGCTACTTCCTCGACGAGCCCATGCGCTGGATGGGCCCGCTCCCCGCCTCCGGCCCGGGCAAGCTCGTCTGCCCCGGCTCGGGGAAGCGGCCCTGCGGCGCGAAGCTCGGCGAGTGGAGCTGGACGGGCACCAAGTGCGGCTGCGGCGAGTGGGTCGCGCCCGCGTTCCACGTGGCGAAGTCGCGCGTCGACGCGCGAAGGCGAAGGACCGCCGCGGCCGCGGGCCCGGCGGCGTCGGAGGCGCTCGGCGTGTCGCTCCAGTGGATGCGCCTGTCGCCGCCGCCGGCCGTCGTCGTCTTCGTCGCGCACGAGACCGCCGCCGCCGCGCGGCGGCAGGTCGAGCGCCTCTGGGGCGGCCGTTTCGTGACGGACGGCGACATGGCCTGGCTCTTCGTGGACGCGTCGGCGCCGCCGGCGGTCGTCGCGGCGCTGCGCGTCGAGGTCGCGGAGCGGGGCGTCGCCGCGGACCGCATCTTCCTCGGCGGCGCGGGCGCGGGCGCGGCCGTCGCGCGCGAGGCCGCCGGCGGCCGCGGCGCGACGTTCTTCCTCGCGCCCGCGCCGGCCCTCGCCGCGGCGGGCCTCGCGCCCGACGCCCTCGTCTGCGCCGCGACGGACGACCCGCGGCCCTTCGAAGCCGCGGCCGGCGACGGCGTCGCCCGCTTCTCGCGCCTCGAGCCGGGCGTCCTCACGCACGGCGTCGTCCGGACGTTCTGCAACTGGCTCGAGCGGCGCGCGGCCGCGGGCTAATGTCCATGTGCTTACCGGAGCCTAGGAATTCCTAGTCGCGGATGGGCGCCGGCGGCGCCGCGGGCTCCGGCGGCGCGAGGTCGTCGTCGACGTAGAGGCTGAAGCCGAGGGGCGCCGCGGCCTTGGGCTTGGGCGCCTCGAGGGCGGCCTCGGCCCAGGGCGTCGGCCCGCGCTCGTTCTCCTTGACGCGCTCCTGGAGCGTGCCAAAGTCGGGCCAGTCGTCCGCGTCGCCGGCGTCGGCGTCGAGGCGCGACCGCGGCGCGTCGTCGACGAAGATGGCGAAGCCGCCCTGGGGCACCTGGGGCGGCGCCGGCGCCGCGCCCGCGCGCGACCCGAGGCCGCGCGCGGGCCGGGCCCGCGCCGCGCCCCCGCGGTCCGTCGCCGAGGCCCCGGCGGCCCGCCGCGGGCTCGGGCGCCGGGTTCGCCGCCGCTGCGGCCTCGCGCCGCTCCCGCCGCGCGTCCAATGCCGCGCGCTTCGCCGCGAGGACGCCCGCCGGCGCCGCGTCCTTCTGCGCGCCGCGCTCGTAGAGCTCCGCGGCGGACTTGAAGCGGCCCTGCGACTTGGAGCGCCCAGGCCGCCCAGAACGACGCGCGGGTCTCGCCGACCTTCTTCTTGTGGATGAACTTGAAAGCATCGTCGGGCTTGGCCAGGCGGTCGACGTAGGCGAGCCAGACCGCGACGTAGCGCTCGTCGTTCTTGTACGCGGCGTCGTCCTTGAAGCGCCGCGCGCACCGCTCGCGGACCTCGAACGCGGCGAGCGCGTCCGTCGGCCGCTCCCGCTCGAGCCAGGCGACGTACGCGAGCCACGGCGCGAGCGGGTCGTCCGAGTCCGTCGCCAGCGCGGCCTCGAGCCGCGCGCGCTCGTCGTCGGCCCCGGCGGCGGGCCCGGCGACGACGCCGAACTTGCGCGCCAGGTCTTTGACGTCGCGCCCGCCCTTGCGCACCGCGACGTTCTCCTTCGACGTCTCCCATACGGGGGCGTCCATGTCAGCCATTTGCTTTCTGCGCGTGTGGACAGAGCGCGCGCGAGTGACAGCGCAAGCAGGTGGCCCAACGACAACGACTCGATGGCCCACAACACTGTCGGCGCGCGTCGCGACGATGGGGGGGGTTGCTCCGGCAACGTCGGCAGTGTCGCGCGACGGCGGCGTCTAAAGTCAGGTTTTTTTGCATGCGCCGGGAGAGGTCCGGTGGCTACGCTCGCGTGATGCGAGCTCTTTCTAACTCGACGATCTCGGCACAATATCCTCGAAAAAGGACCGCCTACGTACGAATACGCGCGTATACGCGCCAGCCATGCGCTGCGTATAGGTGCAGAACGGTCGCTTTTTGTGGTCGGGGCGACGCCCCATGACCCCTGGCGTCGCCCTGGACGGTTGGTGAGTGCCGGAGACGCAGTTTCGGTGTCGGTCCAAAATCCACCCTACGGGCCTCGTTCGTCCACCGCGCTCCTACGGACAAATCCGGCACAGCCGATCTCGCCACCATCGATGGTGTTGGACGTGCCCCTTGGTTTCCTAGTCGACGGTACTATGAAGGTTCGATCGCGCTCAAGATCCTGACTTTCGAGTACAGCGTCGCTGCGCTAGAGGGGTCGGCCGGGGCGCCACTGCGGAGCAACCCCCCCCCTCGCGACGCCTCTGTGCCTCTCTCGCCGACGAACGCAGGACCTGGCCGCGCGCAGCCCCGGTCCTCGCGGCATAAAGAAAGCGGAGTTACACTCAGCGGAGCCCGGAGTCGCAGGCGGCCTTGATGACGGCGAGCGCGCGCTCGGCGCCGTCCGCGGTGATCTGGTGGTGGCAGACCATGCGCATGCGCGTCGAGCCGGGCACGACGAGGAAGCGGACGCCGCGGTCCGCGCAGTGGTCGACGAGCGCCCGCGCGGAGAAGCCGAAGCGCGCCTCGTCGAGGCCGAAGTAGAGGAGGTTCGTCTGCGGCGCCTCGACGTCGAAGCCGAGCGCGCCGAGGCCCGCGGCGAGCGCCGTCGCTCGCGCCGCGTCCTCCGAGAGCTTCGGGAGGACCTCGTCGAGCGCCACGAGCCCCGCGGCGGCGAGCACGCCGGTCTGGCGCATCGTGCCCCCCAGGCCCTTGCGGAGCCGGCGGCACCGCGCGACGAAGTCCCCGGAGCCGGCGACGACGGACCCCGCGGGCGCGCCGAGGGCCTTGGAGAGGCACACGGACAGCGAGTCGTAGGGCGCCGCCGTCTCCGCGAGCGCCTCGCCGCGGCGCGCCGCCGCGTGCCAGACGCGCGCGCCGTCGAGGTGCGCGGCGACGCCGAGGTCCCGCACCGCGGCCGCGACCGCCGCGCCGTAGCCCGCCGGGAGCGCCGCGCCGCCCCGCAGGTTGTGCGTGTCCTCGAGGGCGACGACCTTCGTCGCGGGGAAGTGCTGGTCGTCGACGCGGACGAGCGCGCGGACCGCGGCCGCGTCGCCGATCGTGCCGTCGGCCGCCGTCGGCACGGCGCGCGCGTGGGCGCCGCCGAACTGGGACGCGCCGCCCTGCTCGAAGATGTGCACGTGGGCGCAGTCGCCGACGACGTACTCGGACCCGCGCTCCCAGCAGTGCGCCAAAATCGACACGAGGTTGCCCATGGTGCCGGTGGGCACGAAGACCGCGGCCTCCTTGCCCAGCAGGTCGCCGACGCGCGCCTCGAGCTTCGCGACCGTCGGGTCGTCGCCGAAGACGTCGTCGCCGCAGACCGCGGCGCCCATGGCGGCGCGCATCGCCGCCGTCGGCTGCGTCACCGTGTCGGACCGCAGGTCGACGACGGGCTCGGCGGCGGCGAGTCGCGCGACGGTGCGCGTCGCCGTCTGCCGCGGCGCGACGAGCGCCGTCGCTGCGGAGAGGAGCAGCGAGAAGCAGCGTGCGGCCATCATCTCGAGTTGTGGAAATCAGCGAATTGAACAAGTTCTTGAATTGAAGCTAGGTTGACCTGAAGGGGGTGCGCGCCCGACTGCGTCCGTCCGGGGAGGGGAGGGGGGGGCGTAAGTTGCCGTCGTAGCAGCGCTCGAAATTAGGCGGTGTTCTGCGCTGCAGCAGGGCGCTCGCGCTTGGGCTTTCGACTACTCCGCGGCGGGGTGCTTCGGGCAGCGGACGCGGTGCTCGAACAGGTAGTCGATCGCGGACTCGATGGGCCCGTCCGCGAGGGGCAGGCCCGGGATGATGGACAGCGCCACGACGGACGGGCCCCATCGTCGCACGACGACGTTGCTCATCGTCTGGAACACGTACTTCTCCGAGAGGTGCACCGTGTTGTGGATGACCAAGAACGGCAGCGTGAGGCTCGCGAGGAACTGGAATAAAGCGCTGTGCGCGAGCGTCAGCCTACCAAACGCAAAGTCTCGAAACTCGTCACGGCCGCGGGACGCTGGCGTCCGCTTGATGTGCGTCGGCGTGCAGCCCGGCTTGTGCGATTCGACGTAGCCGTTGTAAAAGACGTCCCCCAGCATGTACAGGCCCGCGACGCCGTAGGTCGCCCGGACCGCGGTCGCCGGCAGCACGGCACGGAAACTCTCGCCGACGTCGGAGCTATAGGCCAAATAGTGGGCGTAGCCCGCGAACCGCGCCGCCGTGTCCCGCAGGGGCAGGATCAAGTCCTCCTCGATCTCCCGTTCCACCAGCTCCATCACCTTCGTCGCCTCGCGCTTGACGGCGGCGACGCGGCCCTCGTCGCTGCGAGCGACGAGCGAGCCGCAGGCGACGCACGCGACGCGGCCCTGCAGGTGCCTCAGGGCCATCATCGTCGCCCGTGGAAATCAGCTGCGGTCGCGAGGACGTCGACGAAGGCGTCGGCCGCGACGACGTCGACGAAGGCGTCGGCGCGTAGGGCGACGGCGCGGGCGTCGGTGGGGCTGCCCCTGCTCCATCGACTGTAAACGGCAGCAACTGCGAGAATCTTGCGAAATGGATGGCTCGCATCGTCGGCCACCCTGGCAGCCCTCGCTTGTCATTCCTCGAAGAGTTCGCCGCCGCACAGCACCACCACAAAAGCAGCACCATGGGCAACTCCAAGAGCCAGCTCTCCGTCCCCGCGCCGAAGAAGATCATCTACTTCGGCGTCAAGGCCGCGGGGCTGCCGGCGACGATGTGCCTCGAGGTCGCGGGCCTCCCGTACGAGGCCCAAAAGGTGGCCATGGAGGAGTGGAAGGACCTCAAGCCCACGACGCCCACGGGCGTGCTGCCCATCGCCGAGTTCGCCGACGGCACGAAGCTGCCCGAGAGCGGCGCGATCCAGCGCGCGTGCGCGGCCGCGGGCGGCCTCCTCGGCACGGGCAAGGACTACATGATCTCCGAGATGCTCATGGGCCTCACGGCGGACTTCTCGAAGAAGGTCATGGGCAACGTGCCGACGATCATGACCGTCGGCGACTGGACGGCCGAGAAGACGGCCAAGTTCAACGACGAGATCAAGGACGACGTCCTCGCGTTCCTCAAGAAGTACGACCAGTACCTCTCGGGCGACAAATTCACGGAGTCCGGCGTCACGCTCGGCGAGATCGAGCTCTTCTGCAAGCTCGTCATGTTCAAGAACGCGATCCCTGAGGTTGCGACGGGCGGCCTCAAGCCCTTCTTCGACCGCATGGCCGAGGTGCCGGGCATCAAGAAGACGCTCGCGGGCGAGTCCCAGTTCGGCGAGCTCATCGACTACATCGTCGCCTTCCCTTAGAGGATGGATCTGTAGGACCTACTCAAGTAGGGAGGCTAGCGACTTCTAAAGGACGGCCACGCGGGCTGGTGAACTTACGCGACTTTCGTCGGGGTTGTATCAGAGGCCCGTCGAGCGGCGGTTCGTCGGAGGGAGGGTCGCGGCGGCCGGCGGGCGGGACGCGTGGTTGAGGCCTTTGAGCGGCGTGACCGCGGCGCGGCGCACTCGCCGCGGCGCGGTCTAGCTACGTCGCGAACCCTGCCGGGCAGAGCGCCGCGCACCGCTCGGGCGTCGCGCCGTGGCGGTCCAGAGCCGCGGCGAAGAGGCGGCGCGCCTCGGCGTAGACGTCGTCGTCGACGTTGCGCGCCGCGCGCGGCACCGTGCGGTTGTGCGGCTGGGATCGGAGGTGCTCGAACTCCACCGCGAGGCAGGGCGCGCCGAACTGGAGATGGAAGAGGCAGATGGACTCGGCCCACGAACGCGAGCTCCCGGAGCCGCGCGATCGCGGCGTCGCGCGTCTTCTCGTCGGCGCGGCCCTTTTCCGTGCACGTGCCCCGCCCCGCGAGCGTGCGCGCCATGCACCCGGCCGTGGCCTCGGCGAACTGGCGCGCGTTGTGCGCGCGCGGGCCCTTGGGGCTGAGGACGCCGTGGATGTTCACGTGGTGGGGTAGAGCCAGTGGTTGGTCTCGTAGGTCCGCTGCTCCTCGCGCACGGACTGGCTGCTGATGGGCGGCCCGTCGGCGTTGCCCGACGCGAAGAGCTGGAGCTCCTTGGCCGCGCCTGGGCAGGACAAGAGAGCGAAATCCCCAACTTCAAAGGCTCCTATCTCGGCCGTTTTCCACTCGTTTCGGCTGATTTTTGGACGAGCGATCATCTCTCGGAACGGTCTCGAAGCGTGGATGCTTTTTCTAGAACGGGCGCGCGCGGAACACTCACATTGAAGCGACGTTGAATCACCCTTGTCCTGCCCTGGGCCGCGCCCGCGAGCGGCGCGGAGATCATGATCCATTTTTCCACGTAGGTCTCTTTCCAGGCGTCCGTCATCGCGTTGAGGAAGTAGAGAGTCTGCAGGCCGCCCATGGAGTGCGAGACGAGCACGGCGCGACCCTGGGCGTCGACGGTCTCCTCGACGAGAGCTTGGAGAGCGGCGACGTAGGTGGAGGTGAACGCCGGCGTCTCGTCGCCAATCGACGGCAGATCGACGTCAGGAGTGTAGCGGAAGTCGTAGGGCGCGCCCCGGAGCGTCGAGTTGCGCTCGTAGCCCTCCTTCACGAGGGCCTCGACCATGGCGCTGAAGGCCGCGGAGCCCTTGAACGGAATGGCCGGGTCCAACTCCTCGAAGCCCTCCGTGGAGCCGAAGGACGGCACGCGCGTCGACACGCCGGGCATGTTCCGCGACGCGGAGCCGTTGAGGGCGAGCTTGATGTTGTCGGACCAGCAGTCCGTCGTCGCGACCAGATCCGTGGCGTCGAGCCAGATTCGGTACCAGTCGGCATTCTTGGAACAGTACCAGTGGGGCGTCGCGGGCTTGTCGACGAGCTTCGCCTCTAGCTGGTTGCTGCCGTCGCCGGGGACGATGATGACGGGCGACAGCGCGGCGGATGTCGCGGCGAGGAACGCGAACGCGAGCCGCATGTCGGGGCAGCGCGTCATCGATGGGGAGTTATTGTTATTTACTGCTGCAAGTTGCTGTTCAAGGTCGCTCGCTAATTAGCCACTAATTCTTGGCAAAGCATGATCGCATCCTGCGCGCTGCGGCGCCTCCCAGGCATGAGCTACGGCGCGCGACCAGGCCACGTAGCCATGAGCCGCGCGGTGCTGCGCCGACCGGTCGCCCGCGAGTCCTCGACCCTCGCGCGCGTCGTCGCGACGCCGTACCGCTTCGCCAAGTTCGCCTTTGAGAAGTGGTGGGTGCGGCGCGCCGTGCGCGCGGCGCGCGTCGTCGCCATCGGCGGCGCCCTCTTCGGCTCCGGCCGCCAGCTGGGCATCGTCGAGTACGCCAACGACCCGGCGTCCAAGGAGGCGGAGCTCCTCGAGGCCGTCGCGCGGGGCGCGGGCGCGACGCGCGTCCACGTCTGCGGCGAGCGGCGCGCGAGCTGCCCCGAGCTCCAGCGGAAGGAGGGGCAGGTCGAGCCCGTCGTGCGGCGCTGCCTCGAGGCCGCGCGCGCGCTCTGCGCGGCGCGGCTCGACGCCGCGGACGCCGGGAGCGGCGCGCGCGCGGACGCCGAGGCGGCGCTGGCCCGCGTCTCCGGCGCCTGGAAGGTCGTGCTGTTTTCGACGTCCGAGGAGCGGCCGCCCATGGTCAACGCCTTCGTCTCCGGCGTCTGCCCGCGGACCGTCTTCGTGTCCGAGGGGCTGCTCGACGTCCTGCGGCCGACGGCCGACGAGCTCGGCTTCTGCCTCGGCCACGAGCTCTCCCACCTGCTGCACGGGCACACGGAGGAGAAGATCTACTGGCGCGCGGCGACGGGCTGCGTCCAGCTCGCCGTCCTGGCCTTCCTCGACCCGAGCGGGCTCTTCGCGTTCGCGGGCGCGGAGTTTCTCCAGCGCGCGGCGGACCTGCTCCTCGCGAGCCACAGCCGCGACCACGAGGACGAGGCGGACCGCACGGGCCTGCGCATCGCCGCGTCGGCCTGCTTCGACGCGCGCCACGCCGCGTCGTTCATGTCGAAACTCGCGGACCACGGCGGCCGCGGCCCCGCGTCCTGGCTCGCGACGCACCCGTCCTCCGACGACCGCCAGGCCCGCCTCGCGGCGCTCGCGCGCGACATCCACGCGGGCGCGCCGGAGTACGCCGCGCGCTGCCGCCTCGTGCGCTCGCGGCTCCCGCGCTTCGCCTTCGACGAGCCGCGGCCCTGGTACCGCCGCCGCCCGACGCTCCGGGCGTAGCTTCGTTAGTGCGCTCGTGGGTGCTGGACATGGGCGTTTGGGATTATCGACAGCCTTGGGAAGGGTGAACATTTTGTTGAAGTCTGCGGCAAAAAACATGGCGGCAGCGCCGCGCGTCGCCGTCGTCGGCGGCGGCCTGAGCGGGTCGCTGGCGGCGCTGGGCCTGAGGGCGAGAGGCCTGGCGCCCGTCGTCTACGACGCCGGCGCCGGCGACCGCCTCCGCGCGGCGCCGTTTTTCCGCGCGGAGCACGACCGCTTCAGCTCGCTGCTGCGCGCGCTCGAGCAGCGCGGCGCCGCGGCGCCCTGGGCCGGCGAGTTCGGCATCCTCGGCAGCCGCGGCGGCGGCTACCTGAGCAAGGCCCACGTGCCCAAGAAGCGGCCCGCGGCGGGCGCGGCGCCGCCGCCGCCGCCGCCGCTCCGGGACAGCGGCGACTTCTGCGGCTTCGTGGACGACGGCGGCGCCGGCGCGCTCTGGGCGGCCACGGGCGACGTCTGCGCGAGCCTCCGGGCCATGGGCGGCGGCGACGCGCCGACGCGGGAGCGCGTGTCCGAGCTGCGCTGGCTCGGCGGGTCGTGGCGCGCGACGGCCGGCGGCGGCGAGGCGGACTACGACGCCGTCGTCGTCGCCGGCCCGCCGGCCGTCGCGGCGGCGGCGCTCGGGACCGTCGCCATGGACGGCGACCACGCGGCGCGCCTCCGCGAGCTCGGGGACGCGCTCGCGGCCGTCCCCGCGGCGCCGCTCGCGTCGCTGTCGGCGACGGTGGCCGGCGTCGACGCGCCCTTCGACGCGGCGACGGTGCCGGGCTCGGACGTCGTCCAGTTCGTGGCCCGCGAGCGGTCGAGGCGGCCGGACGCGCCCGCGGGGTCCTGGACCGCCGTGTCGACGTCGGCGTTCGCGGCGCGCGGCGGCGCCGACGAGGAGCTGGCGGACGAGCTGCTCCGGCTCCTCGCGCCCTTCGGCGCGACGGCCGTCGAGGGCCCGCGCTGCGACCGCTGGGACGCGGGCCTCGCGGACGGGTCCCTGGAGGCCTGGTCCCGGGGCGAGGAGGACGCGATCTTCCTCGAGCCCTTCGCCTTCGCCATCGCCGGCGACTTCGTGCGCCGCCGGTCCTGCCCCGTCGAGTCCGCCGCGCTCAGCGGCCTCGAGGCGGGCCAGCGCCTCGGCGAGTTCCTCCTCGCGCAGGCGGAGCTTAAAAACTAGTCCTCGAAGGAGAGGAGGTTCGTCGCGCGCTTCGCCTGCTTCGGCGGCCTCGCGTCCGTCCGCCGCCGCTTCGGGGGCGGCCGCGCGCCGGCGACGGCGACGGCCTGCGCGCGCGGCGGCGGCGGCGCGGCCTCGAGGCGGGGCGGCTCGGCGGCCTCGAGGCGGGGCGGCTCGGCGGCCTCGGTTTCGTCGCCGCCGCCGTGCCACCGGAGGCTCGACACGCCGCGCGCCTCGAGCGCGCGCCGCTCGTCGGTGGCGACGGAATCCTCGGGCAGGACGAGCTGCGGCGCGTCCGAGTCGACGTCGCGCCGGTTCGCGCCGACGCCGGGAAGCCGCGCGCCGCCGCGCGCGTCGCCGTCGGGCCGCGCGTCGATGCGCGCCGCGGAGCCCTTGTGGACGCGGACGCCGGCCTCGACGCGCGCCTTCTCCGGCTTCGGTTGCCGCTTCTTGAACTGGCGCTCGCCGCCGAGCTGGCGCGCGGCGCGGTCGATCTCCTTCTCGCTCGCCGCCGACGTCCAGCGCACCATCTTGTCCTCGAGGGACGGGTCCCACGTCTGGTCGCCGGCGGCCATTTTTTGAACCACAGTTAGCACAGAGCGACAGCCATACTCTCGTGGGGCAGCTCTTCGGCTAATGAGGCCTTCAGGGTGACGGCAACCAGCACTCAGCCAAAAAAAGAGCAAACTACACC